TACCTTTCAAGGTATACTTTCATATAAAGCCAAAAAGTTATTTTAGGCAAATTTTAAGTAATGAACATTGCATTACTGAATAATTAAGCTCTAACAAGTTCACTTGAATAATCACGTAGTTATTTCTAGTTACAGGCGAGAAAAATGTGTTTCAGAGCCTGATCTAGTAGCAAGAGAGCAGGGGAAAAAAAACCAGGGTGAAATGTAAGATGTATACATCACAACACAGCCAAATCTCTATGTCCTCCCTTCAGTCTGCTCCTGTGATGAGCATTAGACCGACTACAGTACTTAGTATCTTTAAAGAAATCTGACATCATCTCATCTGCCCAGTACACCACAGAAAAACACTCAAAGTGAAATATAAACAAATATCTCTTACATGGACCAAGTCTCCTACTTGTACCAACTTACATTCATCTAGTCTTTTCTCTTTTTTTTTTGGTACCAGGGATCAAATTCGGGTCCTTGCGCTTGCAAGGCAGATGGTGTAACCACTGAGCTAAATCCCCGGCCCATATTCATCTATTTTGATGCTGCTGCTATATCAGACAGTCATTACTAAAGACACTGGCAGAATTCATGGGTTTTGAGGATTTCTAATGTTATAACATCTCATTTTGATCAATTTTACAATGCTCTCAAAAATAACAGAATCACCAAAATATTTTGTTTATTAGCCATATTAGCTGACCTCATCAATCACATATGGTATTTTATTTGCACATTTTAAAATATATAAAAATATTCCAAATAGAATTCACCAATGTAAAAAAGTTTGGGCATCTGGGGAAAGGCAAAACCATCCAGCATCTCTCATTTATCTCAAGAACACAGATTCTACCAATATAACATAAATTAATATATGAAACTGATGTTAAAAATGGGAAGTATAAACAGTTCTGTGATATTACACTTTAGAAGGGGGCAATGCATAAATATGAAGATGTCCATCCAACCAACTCTTCATTCCTACCCAAGCATCTAGAGAAGGCATTTTAAAAATTTGGGCCCGGGGATGTAGCTCATTGGTTCCAGTGCCTGCCTCGCAAGCACAAGGTCCTGAGTTCGATCCCTGGTACCAAAAAATAAAAAAAATAATTAAATGTTACTCACATTCTGTCACTTTATGTTCAAAACCTTACAGCAATTTCCCATTCTATTCCAAGTTAAAAATCAGAGCCCTTCTAAGTAACTGTTGTGGTTTATATCTAGACGTCCCCAAACCTTCATGATCTCATCACAGGTGGAGCCTGGCGGGGGGGGGGGGGTTGCATCACAGTGGTTTGATAACTTATCACTGGATTAGTCCACTGATGAGTTTATAGCTGGGTGCGATGTTGGGAGTTGAAGCCTGGTGGGAAGAGGTGGGTTGCTATTGGCATGGCCTGGAAAGGTGTATCACTCTCCTTTGATCTCTCTCTCTGCTTCCAGCCTGCCTTGCAATGAGCAATTCTCCTCTACACTGCCCCTCTGCCATGCCACTCTACCTTGGAGACAGCCAATCATGGACTGAAATCTCTACAAATTGTGAGCCAAAATAAACCTCTCCTCCTTTAAGTTGTAGGTGTCAAGTAGTCTGCCTCACCAACAAGAAAGCAATTAAGACAGTGACTTACGATGCCCTATGTGCCCTGGCCCACTGTACCATCCCTCACCTACAAGCTCTCTCATTCACTATCTCCACTCCTCACTGTACTCCAGCCCCTCACCTCCTCTTCGCTTCTCAAACTTCTAATCAACACTGCTTCAGGATTTTTGCACCTTCTATCCCTACTTTTTGGAGTGACCTTCCTGGGCACCCTCATCTCCTTCAGGTTTAGGCTCAAATGTAACCTCAGTAAAGCCTTCCCTGACAAACCTAATTAAAAGAACATCCCCCTAGTCTTCCTTCCTTGCTTTTTCGTTAATTTTTTTCCTTTCTGAATACATCGTACCATCTGTTAGTTCATCTGTTTGTTTATTTATTAGTTTATAGTCTGTCTCTCCTGATTAAAATATAGCTTAGAATGTAAACTCCACAAGGACAGGAATTTTGTCTGTTTTCTTCATTTCTATACCCCAGAGCCTTGAACAATACTTTTAGCACAAAGCTGACACTCAAAATATAGAGATTAGGTGTTAATAAATATTATCTGTTTGTTTTTCTCTTTTCCCACTAGCATATAAGCCCCACGAGGACAGGAACTGGTTTTTTCCACTTGTATAGTCCCAGGACCTAAAACAGTATCAGGAATTCAATAAATATTTATGGAATAAAACCTCATTATATTCTTTTGCTAGAGAACAGAAAGAGTATTTCAATTCAGTTCTACACATCCTCAACATCTTGTTTGGCTCTAAAATAATGTAGCCCAATGATGAATGAATCTTCCTCATTTTTACTTTGAAAAAATATATACCTATACCTTGTATGGAATCCAAAGTGCAATTAAAAAGCAAAAACAACAAGGAAAAATTAGTGAGGAAACATCAGTGTTTCCTTGGTGATAAGAAATGGACTTTCATGGTACAAAACTGTCAAATTATGCAACAAAAACATACTTTTATTTTGCCCCAACATTTTTCTTCTTCTAGTAATCAATTATTAAAGGCTTTTTTGCAAAGAGCTATAGCCCTTTATTTCTCTTCCCAACACTGAAGCTAATTCATAACACTGAATTATGTGACATTTACTTTCTTGACACTGATGTAATAAAGGTTTCTTTTGTTTGTTTTCTTTTGCTCAGAATCCCAGTACACTGAAAATGAGGAAGAAAGAAGAGTGTGGCTACTAAAAACAAATGTGCAATCCTCAAGATGAAGTCCCCTTTTTCAGTACCAAGTGAGCATTTTTTTGTTTGCAGCAAAGATGCTATCGACTCAGAGTGATAGGGAGCAAAGCAGAAATCAGTGCTGGTGCTTCCCGCGAGATTAGGACAAAGTCTTTTCAGTCAACCAAACTAATCAGAAAATACAAATACCAAAAGGTCCTTCACCTTCCCTGTGATTACCCAAGGCAAAGCCAGAAGGTCAGCAGCTCTATACATTCATTTTCTGACCCCTTTTAAGCTTAGTATATTGGGTCAAAACGGACTACAGTTTACTTTAAATCTAGAGGAACTGATCTACAGCTTTACCTAGTTTCATAGATAAATCCATAGGATGAATTCATCACTTTACAAGCAGTTATTTTTAAAATGTAAAGAGGTCAGTACATTGCTTCAAAAAGATTAAGAGCTTACTGGTTCTTAGAGTGAAAATCATGTACCAGTAGTATTCTTAGAAGCATAACTTGTATCTGCCTATAAAATCATACTATAAGGTCTAGAGAATACAAAACAAAACATGTTAGAATGCCATAAGTATTTATGGGCATTTCTGGGCAGGCACTGGCCAAAGAGTTCCCTACCAATCTCATAGCACAGAGCAGTGAACTTCAAGCTACAGTCTTGTGCAGCGTGCATCCCCTCAGGAGGAACTAGAGAGGGCAGCTGCCAAGTGTAAGGAGGGCAATACACATGATGATTTGGACCTCTCACTGTAATATCAAATAAACAAAAAGCACTACTTCTCTTAATATCTGATACACTAGGGTTATGCAAAATATCGCAACTTTTTTTTTAATGCCTGAAAACCAGCACTAAAGACTTTGGAGTCAAGAAGACCAGAGTTCAAATTTAAATTTGTTGAGAGAATAGATACGATCATGCCTGGCAAGGAACGGGTATTCAATAAAGTACCAATTATTGTAACTTAAAATGTATTAAAAGAGTGACATCAAAATACACAGCCAAGATCCACATAATCATGATGTAACAGTACATAAGCCTTATTTTATGTTCATCCCTTGGTCAAATACGAAAATAAACCCCCAAAACCCACTTTATCCTTTACATATTAAAGGCATGTAACCCAGGAACCAAGGATTTACCACAAAAGCAAAAGGAGACAGGAAGGTGAAAAGAGAGAAACAGAGAGAGAGAGAGACACAGACACAGAGAGAAGAAACAGCTCCAAGGCACGACAAGGAAGTTACAAAATAAAAATTAATATAAGCTAAAAAAAAATTAATATAAGCTCATCATAACTAAAACATATTCAAATATTTTATAAACATTTCATTGTATGTGCAAATAATTTGCACGTCAGATTTTCTTCACAAAAAAATATACAGAATACACAATGATTGCAGAGGAACTGCAACCAATTTCAAGTTAGGTGACATACTCAAAGCCAAAATTTAAAAAAAAAAATCTTTTTAACTGTGATAGTAATATACCTATACAGATAAAAAGTGAGCTATGAGCACATTAAATATACTTGCTACACTGTGATGGGAGCCTCTAATAGTAAGAGACTCTAAAGTTCTCCCCATCAATTCAGATTCTTTTCGGTCTTCCTCAAATTGAGGCCATTTTTCCCTGCAGTGAGAAGTAACTGCAGAAGCCAAGACATAGAGCAGAAGCAGCAGCAAGCCCCAGATGGTCTCTGGGCTCAAAACTCCTGAAACCTGTTGGGAGCGCTCAGTGTAGATCACTATGGCCAGGCCTAACTCACCTCCTCCTGTGAATGAAGCAGGGCCCCATGGGAGGAGAACAGGCAACAAAAGGGCATGGCAGAGCAAGGCTTGGCCAAGAAGAGGACATGTCTTCCTCCCCATCCATTCTCCACAAAACCATCAAACCATGATGTTCTGCACAGCTTAGCTATTCTCCCAGTTCCAGTTACAGACCAGCCCCTTCTCACCTTGCACTTTCCTTACCTCTACCACTATAAATAAATAAACATGCTGCAGTTGCCTGGCAGTCTTTTTCTCCCATCAGGAGGAAAGCTCCACCTGGCCCCAGCCTTTGTATCTCTTTGTCTTCTTCATCCTCCACCGTTCTCCCTCCATGGACCCTTCAGGCTCGCAGCAGAAACCCATTATGAGCCACTCTTGAGGACCATCACTGAGGACCATGGCACCCCTCCAAGCTGCACCTGTACTAGCCACAGTCACCAGATGAGATGAAGCTCACCTGCTTTATTTTATTCCGGGAATTAGTGATGCGCTCGGTGATGCTCTGGTAGGTGCGAATGGCTGTTGTCAGCTCTGTGTAGTGCTGCACTATCAACTCATCCAGGTCACGGTCACACTTCTCATATGCTTCCTCAAGGCGACCCTTTTCATTTTCTCTGTCTTCAACATCGTCACTAGTAGACAGAGTCCTGGTGAAGATAGAGAATATATCAACTCGAGTGAAATTTAGAAAGCAAAGCACAAGAAAGGTGACTCCGTCGATATGCCAGCAGATTCATCTTACTAGCTAGGAAATAAAGTATTGTACGTTACTAGCAGAAAATATAAAATCACCTTCACAATAAATTTCAGTAGCCCATCAAAATGGGTTTGTTGGCCCTTCCTTTCACTTGTGTCCTTGGCCTTAGAACTGATTTTAATCAGACAGCAGGTAGGTATGAACTTTTCAAGAGGTTGGGCAGCTCTTGATTTGTCTGAGTAAATCACAGTAACTCCTAATAATTCTATTCCGCCTACCAGAAAAAAAAAAAAAATGTGGCCAATGAGATCTATGGAACTTCTAGCAATAGTTTTCTTACAAAAAGAATAACAGGAAAGGTGCCCTTCCTCAACCCTACATATTTTTATACAAAGCTGAGACACTCGGATACTTCAATCATCTTAGAAGTATGGAAGGAAAAGCCAAGGGAAATGCCAACCTACCACAGTTTTGTCACTGGGCCACTGAAGCAGCCAGGGCTGAAGCTGCCTTAACTCGACTTCTTGTTAGGGGAGATAATAAATATCCATTGTTTAAGTCACTTTCAGTTGGTCTTCTTTCACATGTAGCTGAAAGTATACTAATGATAAAATTACTCATATATTGAGACAAAGAGCTCATTTGAATGACCTGAATTTGGTACAGAACCCCAGTAGTCTGGAAATAAGGTCATATTAATTCTAAAATCTGTTATAACAGCAGTAATCTAAGCTATAGTACAAGACAGTCCTGCATTTACTATTCTTCAAACAGCACTAACAAGATTGATAGGAATCAACAATAACCAGAGCATGAAATAGATACACTTATTAAAAATCTTTCAATAACTTAGTTTGATACATGGGCCACAGATCTTTGTTTCCTCTATTATCTTTCTTGGATAATTTTTTTTAATTTAGTATTATAATCAGTAACAAAGAAACCTTTTCCTCTTATCTGTTGGCCACGGTAATTTAGAGTTTCATTAAATTTTCAGATTTGTCAGCTTATACATTCAGCCTAGTTTATTTCATTTATCTTTTTTAATTTAGGGTGGGGGTTATTTTAGGCTCTGAATGATGGATGCAATCAATTACAAGTCCATCATTAGAAATGCTTTCAGAGATGGTCTGTCAGCAAATCAATCACATACCCACTTCTAAATACTTGCAAGCAAAATACTGTACAACAGACTCCTCCAAACTGCCATTCAGAGCAAAGGATCTTAATTCATGAGTCACACAATATATAAAACATCTTTTTCAATTTAGAGGAAAATTCAGGAGGCCAGTCTTTGACTTCAGTCTAACCTTAAAACGATTTTTGTAAATGTGGTAGAGACGCCAAGAGACCGAGTATTACATGAAATGGAGGGTAAAAGAAATGTAATAAAGAAAAAAAGCAAAAGCCACAAAGGCTAGTATGGGATACTCAGGAAAGCAACCTTACTGGGAACTGAATGAACTGAGGGCTTTACCATACCAGATCGTTTCTTTGCCGATAAACTGGTGATCCTAAACCAGACACCTTCCTAGGTTACCTTCAGGTAGAGAATATCACATGAGTATTTGACTACTAAAGTAAATCAAAATGGAAAATTTAGGGGGAACTTGGTTTCACAGATAAAGCTACAAAGATTACTTGCAATGTATAGGTACCAAGTAGCTTAGCAGGTCTTCCTGATGTTTGTATGATACATAACTTTGCTCTTTAAATGTGAAAGCATCTAGGCTATTAATCTAAAGTAAAGCACAATGCTTTCAGTTTATCAATTGTCCCAAAGGCAAGGGATCCTAGATATTTAACTCTATCATTTCCCTTTGTAACACCAAATACTGTAGTCAAAAATTTTCAAAGCTACAATGCATCAGTCTGTTATCTTTACAATGCTTTCATAATTTCCTCTCTCCCCTACCATCCGAGGAAGGAAACATGACAAACATTTCACATTGTTTACCTTAACTAGCTAGAATTACCATTAAGGAAAATGTCAGGCCCAGAGAGGACACCTTCTCTGGCATCAGCTGTCACTAAAACACATTACTGGATCATTAGGAGTTACCTAGGAAATAGAAAGGGTTACTAAAATGAAGATTAGAGAGTAAATTGAGTCTACAGGGGATTTTTGCTCCTATTCTCATTTTTAAAGAAAATATTTGTATAAGGAATATCCTGTGCCAAGTTTGTCCCACATTTGAAATTCATCCTCTTTATATAAACTGGGATAAATGACATTTTATCTTCAGTCCAAAACACATTATCGAACTTGGAGAGTATACGACCATTTAAAGTTTTTTTTAATTAGAGAAAAGGAAGGCAGAGAGGATAATAAAAATAATAGTAGCATCTAATATTTAGAGAGGCTTACTAGCTGCCAGGAAGCAGCTGTGTTGCACATTTTACAGAATGTGTGTAATCCAAAAGGGTTACACAAAAGGATTCGGGTCCTATTATCGCCCCCTCCCCTTTTTACAATGGAACCAGCTGAGATCTGACAAGGTTAAATTAATTTGCCCTACCTCACACAACAAGGGTAAGGGATAGCATAGGGATTTAAAGCCCAAGTTGGTTTGTTTGCAGACCTAAATAAGAAACCTAGCTCCACCATATGAGCATCTCATTTTGCTCACCTAAGAAATGGAGATAATACAATATTTCCTTATAAGATTACTGGTAAGTGTTAAATGAGACCACAAGGCCTGGTATATCATTATCACTCAACAAATGTTGATTGTGTTTGTTAGCTATTATTGTTACAGTAACAGTAACTGTAGTACAGATTGAGTCTCCACTATTCAAAATGCTTGGAACTACAAGTGTTTCAGATTTCAGGGTTTTTTTAAGATTCTGGAATATTTGCATATGCATAAGGATATGTTGCATAAGGTACCCAAGCCTAAACGTGACATTTTATATATACGCCATATGTTTCATATATACCTTATACACATAGCCTGAAAATAACTTCATACACTAATTTTAGTAATGAAACAAAGTTTCATGGTATGGAACTTTCCATTTGTGGTATGATGGCCTCCCTCAAAAAGTTTGGGAATTTGGAGCATTTCAGATTTCTGATTTTCAAATTAGGGATGCTCAACCTGTAGCAAGAACACAATGGCAATAGCATTTTTTCAATAATATTATGAAAAATATGCTAGAAACAAAGTTTTAAATCTCACCACTCTCAAATACTAGATCATTTAGCCCTGGGCATGAGATTCCTACTTTACTCTTCCTTAATGTAAAGAGTTGTGGAGAGTTTACTCTTTGCAACCTAATGTGTTAGCCTGCCATCATTTCATGAGTGCTGACAGAAGAAACAAAAATCCTACGTCAGAAATTAAGGACTTTATTACTCACAGCATAGCAAGCAGCATGAGTACCAGTATATTTGCATCAGTTCCCCTTGCCCCAAAGTCCCATGCAGGTTAGGCAGATGGGCCCAGATGGATACTCAAGCCATCTAATTTACCAAAGAGGAATCCTGAGCAACCAAACACCCTTCCATCTGGAGGGACAAACTTACTTTCCAAGGCACTTTACTAAGCAAACATCCTTGACAATGGAAGTCTAAAATGAAGAGCTCTCAGTACTTTTGCTCAAAAGATCTTCAGAAACATATCAGACCCAAGAAAACTCTCCCAACAATGAAGCAACCTAAATCACTGTATTCCTTCATGAACTGAATGATAGCATGGTTCCTAGCAATGGTGGGAAGTAAAGATTCATTTCCAAGCTGTTTCCTTTTCTGCAAAATGAGTCCAGAAATATAATGCCTCAAACAATAAATATTTGCAAAAAAAAACAACGAATGTTAGATCACTAACACATGAAAGAGCAGACAATTTTATAGATAAAGATTTTGGGCATACTGGCAAGACCTAGCAAGCTGCAGTGTGAGATTATTTTACTTTAAGACTGTCACTTGACCTGAACTGAGAGCAGTATAGAAAGAACATTTGTCACCTAGCTCACTCTACCTAAGCCAGGTTAGGAACCTCTCTCTTCAGCCATCTAAGTCTCTGCAGAATGAAAAGCTCACCAGCTCAAAAAGCAATTCATTGCAATTTTGAATAGTTCTACTTGTTATAAAGCCTTTCATTAAAATAAAGTCAGCTCCTTCATAATATCTACCCATTGATTTTAGTTCTTTTTCAGTAACACGAAATAAGTCTATTAGATCGTCTATAATATATCCCTTTAAATTATAGAAGATTCTCAAATAGCTTTCATTCTCAAGTTAAACACTTCCAATTTCTTCAACTATTTCTTCAACATTGTGGCTTCCAAGCAGCCTATCACTCTTGTTGCTTTCCTCTGAAGTCCCCTCAAAAAAAGACTAACACTTAAAACTTAACTGTGGGGTAGGCATTAAACTAAATGATTTTGTTATTGTTTGCTATCGGACTGGGGGGGGGGGCACCATGGTACTAGGGGTTAAATCCAAGGCCTTCACTCTGAGCTACAGCCCCAGCCTTTGAGACAGTGTCATGCTAAATTACCCAGGCTGGTCTCAAACTTGCAATCCTCCTGCCTCAGCCTTCCAGAATATCAGGATTACAGGCATGCACCCCAAGCCCAGCTTAATCTAAGTGTTTTAAATGTAATAATTCATTTACCCTATAAAGTGGATACCATTACCTTATTTCTAAAGAAGACACTGAGTTGTTTCTTCAAGGAACAAAGTTTTTAAGTCACAGACCTCAGCCTGTGCCATCTAACTTATAATAGCTTCACTAACTTATCTCTCAAAATGTGCTCAAAAATGAATACAACATACTTCAAAACAGAAAGAGGTTTTATATCTCACAACATGGACAGTATAATTTTAGTAACCTAGCCTAAAATTACAATGCATTTTTTAAAATACAGACCAAAAATTATCCAAGATACCTTTGACAGAAAGTGCTGACAAGCCAACTTTAATTTATCTCCTATTTGTAAAAA